TCTGAGGTCCCTTCCAGCCCTAATGTCTATGAAATCTACCTTGGTCTCACTCTCCACTCAAGAGGTGGCTGCATTTCAACTGTGCTATATGTGCACTACTTATAAAGCACTGGGATCACATGAGGCAAAAACTACTAGAAAAATGTGAGATTTGTGGGAGGTTTTCAATATTTTGATGCATTTTTTTTCCAAAATAAGACAACACTGTAGAACAATTAAAGCCCAAACAATGCTGTACAGTTCAACCAATACAGAGAACATATGGATTCAGGCGGCAAGCAAGTTGAAGCTGAAGAATTCAAGGGCATGTGGGAAATACATTCATACTATGTCAGGGAAAGAATGTACATATATCAGAAAAAAAAAACAATGGGGCCAGAGTCTGCTCTTGGTTCCATCACTGCAAACGTGGGGTAACTCCGCTGACCCAAGTGGCATTACTACACTTCCCCTGGTGCAGCTGAAAGCAGACTGGCTTGATTCTGTTGAGCAATGTATCACTAAGGAATACAAGTAGGAGAGTAAAACACCCCTGCCTCTGGACTTTTACAAAGGAACAGTGCCCAATGTCACCACGTTACTGCTCTTAAGGTGGCAGGGGCAAAGTTCTCACCCCAATACCTCATGCTGTTTCCACTTCTGAGACGAGGCAGTCCAGCTCACCTCTCCCAGCACTGTTCCCCACCCTCTGATGCTTGAGGCTGACAAGTAAAAGAGCCTCATGTTGCTCACAGCATGCTATTTGCTCGTTGCCATTGCCTGTGGGCTACAAAAGTTCAGGGCCCACTGTCCCCAAGGACTGGGGAGGGCCCGCGGCAGGGTGCAGGGGGCGAAGCGGCACTTCTGCCTATCAGCAGCACCGAGGCAGATTTTTCCAGGAGCTGCAGCGGCCCCGAATACGGACAGGGACGATAAAGACCTTCGCTGGGGGAAAGCCAAGGCCGAGGCCCCTCGACTGGGCTTTCCAGCTCTCCCAAAGACAAAGCAAGGCCAGACAGTGGCTGTGAATTCGTCGTCAGTGGGGGAAGGCGAGACTGTGGCTAAGCCTGCATGTATGTAGGCTGGCCATCGAGGTACCTCAAGAACAGAGGACACCACCATGAACATCGCGTGCCTCCTGAGCCAGGGGGCACGGAGAGTTCCCGCAGGCCAGGCGGCGGCAAGCGGACAGGTCCTGCAGTCGGCCGCAGCGATGGCAGTGAAAAATAGACATAAAGGCGTATGGTTTCATATCGGTAGAGGACACAGGACCACAGAATGTCCTCTGTATAACCACATGAATGGCCACCCTACCCGCACACCTGCCCAGGCTGCTCTCCTCCACCTCGTCCTGCCTCACTGGCAGGACAACGCTGGGGCCTTGATGCCCCTAGGCTCGGGGAGGCCCACAGGCCAGGGCCTCACACCTGTGACATGAGACTGCCTGGAAGCGCTGGGGATCCCCCCTGGGCACCTCCATCACCTTCGCCAGGGCAGCCCCAAGACCCCTGCGTGGCAATCTCCCGGCGGGCAGGCGTAGGAGCCCCGCCTGGGTAGGCCGACCACATGGCAGGCCCCAGACACACGCTGAGATCCCGGGCAGGGAAGGGCAAGCGCCCTCAGTAAAAATGGCGGCGCGGGGGCCAGGCAGCGGGGCGGAAGGTCGCTCTGGCACGCCGCGCCCCACTCGGTGGTGCGGAGGGGTCACGTGACGCTTTCAACCGTGGGGCGCGGGACGCGTCCGGGGAGCAGTGCAGGCCGCGGCCGCCCAGCAGGTGACTCCCCCGCTTCTCCTTCCCCCGGGTCGGGCCGGACCGGACGCGGAGAGGCAGCGCGGGCGCTACAAGGACTCTTCTCACGGGGGAAATGGTGCAGCGCTGACACCAGGGAACAGAGCATCGCCGCCCCGCAGCGTCCCGGGGGGTGGTGAGAGTTGCGCTCCCCGGCGTGGGCCAGACACGGCCCCGCGCGCAGGCGGTGACTTGAGCCCTGTCTTCCTGCGGATGGGGCCACAGGTCTAGTGGTTGTTGCCACTGTTTTGGCGGGGGCGGTATTGTAAGGTATCGCTGGCTTTGTCTCGTGGTGCAGTGGTTGCTGTCCCTTTGCCTTGGTTTATTTCTTTGTGCCACATCTTGATCCATAGAAATGCTGGCTCTTTATACACGCTGCCTTTGAAATCACCATTACAGTTAAGCAAGAAGATGCTCCAGGATGGGTGGCAAGCTGAGGTATTGTTTGGCACACGTGCATCACACATGTTTAAAGTGTCTATAAGTATAAAGACACACAAAAAACTAGAATTCATGGTGCCAGATTTATACCTTTTATTAGACCAACTGGGAAATTGCAAGAAAATTGTCCTTTTCTGCAAGCTTTTGGGATCAAAGTGCCTTCATCAGGTTCTGGGAAAACTATAGATGGTACAAGATGGTAAAAAGTCCCCATAGGTAGGGAATAAACTGCATTTTTGCACAGAGGGAGCTGGAGATGGAAAGCTGTCCCTCTGGGTCCATGAGGGTGTCTTTGTGAGCTGTGCTGAGTAGCTCTTTGGTGTGTGGATCAGGTTGGATTCCTTCCCTGGAGATGTAGAAGTATAAATGAATTCTCACAGCTTCACCTGGGCGAGTAGCTGAATGTTTTCATCTCTGTGCGACAGAAAGGAAAGCTGAGGCAGAGGGGTGATACCAGTTTTCAGGGCTGTGCTGGGAAACTGTGAGAACTTGGTTTTACGTTTACAAGAGCCCTTAATCTCGTCATGCAAAATGTGGTACTTCCTGCCATTGTGTGTCTTTGCCTCTTGCTAAAAACAGAAAGAAGCAGTGATGGCAGAGTTCAGAATCTGTTTTCTTGTAACTTACTGCTTAATAAAGCACATAAGTCCTATTTTACACTCTGAGTAGAGACCACAAATCATTTTGCTTGTCTGCATTAGGATTTTGCTGTATTAAATACATGCTCCGTTTTTGTCAGGACTCAACACAGAAGTTTAGAATTGACGCACTGTTGCTGGAGAGTGACAGCTTTGTAGGCCGACCAAGCACACAAATGTATTAGCTTCCTATTTTATACTCATGGCTCAATCTAAAGGATAATGTCCTTTGCATTGGAGAAGAAAAAAGCACTTGGTAATAATTCAGGATTTTTGGAAGCTAGTATGTTCAGACAGATTATGTAGTGCTCCCTAGTTCACCATCTACATCCTGTTCTGCCTTGTGTCCCTGGATAAGGGCTCCCTGTTTCTTGATGTACTTTAAAAGCAATCCTAGAATGGTCTGCTGAGTACTACAGATACTGAATGCCTTGCAAACCCTAGCTGTGATCCCATAGTCCTTATTCAGGCAAAACCTCCTCTCAAGTAAATATAAGTCTTGCCTGTGTAAGGAGCACATCAGTGCAGTGCAGCCATCCAATATCTTGCTACCTGTATGCTGTTTGGTGTGGAAGGTGAGGGAAAATTTTGGCCATTGACACAGTAGCTTGTGTAGTCTTAATTAGAAGGAGCAATATGGAGGCAATTAAGTTATTGAAAAGTGTCCTCTCTTGAATAGAAACACACAGGGCAGAGAGAAAAATGAAAGAAAACGTAGTTCTGCTGGACGGGATGTACAGACCTAAATGTGTGAATCTTGATATATGAAGCCTGTCTTGTTTCTTTGGTTTTGGTCTTTAAAAATACCTCTGGTCAGTTTCTCCAGGCCCCCTTCACAAGGGGCAGGGTTTCTTCCTTACAGGAGTTGTGACAAAGGTGCTACAGAGTTCAGCTAACTTCAAGGTTGGCTAAATTGAATTAGAATAGGGAAAACAGTGCCCTGTGAGGGAGTGAGCAACAGAAGCCTTGATTCTTGCATTCCAGAGATAAGCTGGAAGGTCAGCAGCAGTCATCTAACATCAGTGCTGGCCTATTTACACCCGGACCTCCTAGAGCTTTCCCTCAGAGGCTATATTCTTCACGCAGAGGTGAGAGCTCTCCATGTCCCAGAAATCCTATCAACTATCCAGTAGGAATGATCTTTGTTCCCTTTCAGAAGGTGTCCAGAAACCACGATGAGCCACTTCTCCTCCATTGCCTTAGCCAGGGGTCAGTAACTTATGGTGTGCAGGCAAATCTGGCTTGTGGAGCAGTTGGATCTGACCTGCAGAGCTAGGGGGTTTCTCCCATACCATGGCTGTGTGGCAGGGAACTTCACTCATGTCTCGCTATGCCAAAGTAGGGGAGATCAATGGCAACGTTGGTAGCCAGGTTCCACTACCAACCTGCCTTTGACCCAAGCTGAGTCAGTCCAGCCTGCTGCCAGAAGACGTTGTCATCTAGTGAGTTTAGCCATTTAAGATTAATTTCTAATATCTGAAACATGGGTCTCAACTTTCAGTTTGAGAGAAACCAGCCTATTGTCAGTCTAGTGTGTGATATCCTAAAAAACCTAGAAGCGCTTGTCCTGAATCATGTTGTTAACATTTGTCTTGCACTTTCTTTAAACAATTTTGCATGTGGTTTATCAAAAACAGTTTTTGTCTTTCCCCTGCTTTGATTTCAACAAAGCACTGATCAAGGGTATAGGCATCACTGTAATACTTGCCTTTATGAAAAGTGCTGCGGGATCTTTTAATGCTCAGGCAGAACAGACAAAACATCTGTTTTATTTTTAGGTCTTCTCTGAAAGAAATCCATGCTATGAACCAGCACAGAATTCAATTTGTCTGCTTCAGAGAGACAAAAGCCACATAATTTTCAACCTGTTTCCAGAGTCAAGATATTTAAAACATAAAGTTAAAATTACATCTTGCATCTCTCACTTAAAATTGTATAGCTGTGGCACAGATTTCTTCACCAGTATAAAAAAGTGGGTGCGTGAAGGAACATTATCAGCCTCAGTACAAATAAAGTTCTTGGAGTCCAATGATACAGACTCCTGAGCATGCTACCCTAACAGGTTCTGAAACAGTAAAAAAAGGTTCAGGTTTGAAAGTCACTATTTCTATTAGTACAGTGATGACCATGCTCCTCCTAGACAAGGGCATTCCTGCTGAAGCTGTGCTGCAAAGACCCAATATGCAGTTCATTTAGGAGAGGAAAAACCCTCTTGTTCATTTTGATGCTGCATTTAACCGGTGTTAATAGCACTGACCATGCCAGCTTATCAGATATAGTATGACACAATCCACTCAACTATATGATCAAAAACCCTATTTGGGAGCAAAAATAGTAACTTTTGAGTAGCTTCACTTTTTTTAAACTAACACCACTTTTCCCTATGTCGAAGAAAAGGAAATAATTCTGGCCAAATGAGTTTTGTGAGAACTGAATAAGCAGTCCTTCTAGTGTGGCACCCGTCTTGCCAAGATACCAGAGGGCAAGCTGCCCAGAGTGCGATGTTGGCCCTTGCATAATAAAACCAAATGTTTTTAAGACTCTCAGAAAAATGACAAAAGCTTCCAGTAGTCTGAGCCTTCCATTCTGACAATGGTGAAAAATTATAAGGTTGTTAGAAGAGACAAAGCAAAACCGGTGAGTGACACCACCATTTCTCCTAAGAGAACTGAATGGGACAGAACAATGGCAATGGCATTTCTTATCCTTTTGTGCTGAAAGCTAGGAAGAGTATTCAAGCCTATTTGACAATGATGAAAACTGATGAGGGACTGCATTATGAAGAGTTGAATCAATGAACTGGCACTACCAAAGAGATGGCATAATGCATGCTACAATTGTGGCTGTGAATTTAAAAGGATGAGCGTACCCTTTCTGTTCAGTTATGCTTGCACTTTGCGGAGAACAGTTTGCCTGCCTCAAATTTTAGATTGTTGACTGCATTATAAATCACCTCCACACAAAACAGTACATGAAGAAGAAAACCTGATATCAAAGTTCCCTGGTTTATCGTGTAGAGGTACAAGCAGAAGAAATTTAACTCTTTAAGTCACCGTATGTAAAATTTTCTGCTGTCCTGAGGTATGGGCTTCTGAAGCTTTTGATAATGCAGAATGTTCACTAGCATTAGTCTGATTCTTGGAAGAATCAGTTTTAAAAACACTTCTGCCTAGGATTTGTATTCAGCTCTCTCTCTTTCAGGAGAATAATTGCAAATGAAATCTGAAAGGCAGGATGCATTTTCCACACACCCCTCCCACCAGCTCACCAAAACTCCCTAAGCAACTCTGCTCCATATTGGTCTAGGGAGCCATGGGCAGGGAGCAGCATCTGGGAGAGGGATGGGGCCAGGGCTGGGGTCACAGAGTGGTGATAGTGCAGACCCAGGCAGAGCCACGGTCTGCTGCCTGCATGTCTTCAACAAGCACCTGTTCCTCAGGCAGGGGCGTGCAGGAAGCAGATTGTAGTTCTACCCTGGGTCCTGGCCCTGTGCTATCACCATGATCCTGGGGTCTCCATAGAGACCAGCTAGGAGCCACATGGGCAAGGCAAGTGCACAGCCAGGCAGATGGGTTTGGGCCATGGGTGGGCAGGAAGTGGCAGCTGGGAATGGAATGGACAGGTAAAGCTGGGACCAGGATCTTGGGGTGGTGACAGCTAGGGCCAGGGCAGAGCTGCAATCCAGTCCCCACATGCCCTTGCCCATGGAACCAGTGTCTGTCACAGGGACATGCAGGGAGCAGATCACAGCTCTATCCCAGGCTCCATGCTGTCACCACCCTGCGATCCCAGCTCTTCAGTGGTAGGTGTGGGGCAGATGGGCCAGGGTGCATGGACAGCAGGGTGGGGTGCGGCAGTGGCAGCAGCCAGGAGCCATCACCACTGGGGCTGCCAGGAAAGGAGTCTGGCCACCACAGTGCCTCAGCCCCACTGTGCGCAGGGGATGGTGGGACTAGTTGCATGCATCACACCTGGGCTGTCTCCTATGCCATGGGGCAGACAAAATCCTTTGGTGGGTCAGATGCAGCCTGTGCGCCATATTTTGCCGACTCCTGTTCTAGCCCCTCAGTGGAGGTGATGGATCAGCCAGCAAGGAAGTTGTTGTATGGCAGCTGGTAAGGGAGATGGAGATCTGAAAAAAAAAGTCACCAAGGCTGGGAGCTGAGCAAGGGGTTGAGCTTGAGAATTTGGAGTTGTTTTTGCATGGTTTAAGAAAAGCTGGGAATTGGTGCCAGCGTGAACAAATGCTAGACACTGTACCTGACTTTGTATGATCATAGCCCCAGTGGCAGATTCTGACCTGTTGCAAGACCACCAACATTGCCTGGTGCTTATTTGAGAGGCAATAGTATCCTGTCATATCCATCTCCAGAACACTTCTGTAGTAAGAAGATTACAAATAGCTCACATTCTGTGAAGCTGTGCCTTTGACTAGATTAGTCTTTCATGCGTATGAAAATAATGGTTCTCAAACTCAAGCAAGGAAATTGAGTGATGGAGCTGCTTGTCTTGGGCCCAGGGATGAAACATCTGCCTTTGAAGGGGTTGCCTCTAGGGGCATGCACACGAGATGCTTACTGTGCAGTTGCCTAACTAGTTCTGCAGTAATCTCAGTGTCTACATATGCAGCCCTATTAGGCTGCAGTAAACTAATGAACGCCACTAGGTTAGTACTTTGTAAACATAAATACTGTCCTGTGGCAGCATTGTTTAGCATGCCACAACACATGTAGACGCTGACAGGGCTAACTGGGGCAGAAGCGTGCTGCCTGCCAACTATTCCCACACTGAAGCACCCTCGTGCTCCAGCCAGCCCCTCTGCAGCATGTTGAGCTGGGTCGAAGACGTCTCTGGCTGGGAGGCTCACCCCCCAGTTCCCTGTCAGCCAGTGCTGCTCCAATCCAGCTCAACTTGCTGTGGTCCTAGTTACACATGAAGACATGGTGCCTGGAAGTTATAAACTCCTGCGTAAGCTGTGCTGGAGTTTATTCACTTGCATTTATAGCACATGTAGACACTCCTGGGGCAGACTAAGTAATGAATCATGATCTTGCTGCTTAGGGCTTGGAAAAAAATTGACTGCTTTTGTCAGTCAAATGTCCGTGGGCAGGGAATAAATCTAGACCTTGTCCTGGCACAGTGCTGCTACCACAGTCAGTGCATTGTAGGGTTAGCTGCACTTGGTAACTTGATATCCCAATAAGGAAAACCTTTGAATACATCAGTGTAGCAAAAGAGGGTGCTCCTCTGCTGAGAGGAGAATGAAAAATGTGTTTTTCCTTCAGAACATAGTCCACTGGTTACAGTGAGGACTGGCTCAAGCAACAGAAAGGAGAGTGCACCTGGTTCAAACATCCCAGGATGCCTTCTGTATCCCATGGGAGCAGAGTACTCTCACATGCGAACGTCAAAGGACAGGAGGAGCCTGCAACTTGTCAAGCTGTCAAAGTTACTAGTCTCTTGCCTGTCTGTATTAGTCTGCAAGAAAGAGGCTGGCTTTCTGCCATTCCCACTGCCCATTTTCCTCCACGGATGACTTCGTAAAAAATCCATAGATTATTCAGATTCTAGGCCTCACCGTAGTATGGAACATTATGCATGTATGTTTCATAAAAGGGTTTCCTTTCTTCAGAGGCCAGTTAAAGATGGTGGTTTGGTTTCTGGGGGGGCTGAACGTTCAGTTTGGAAGTGCCAGATATTTAAAAATAAAGCTTGATAAAGAACTAAAATAGGCATTGAGAAGGAAAAAAGAGAGAGACTCTATGCAAGAACTAAAGCTGGTTCTTTAATGTTTCCTCTTTTGTCTCATCTGTTTTATTAAATATAGGAAATTTGCCTTTGTTTAGACAATAATCTGGGTAATCTGGGGAGATGAAATCTGAGGTCATTACAAGCCAGCACTCTTCTCCACAATTGTCAGAAGGAGATAGATTGCAAGTGAATGGTTGGTAATTGGGCCTGGCTACACTACTTCTGCTGCTTCTGGATTGCTAATTTATATTTCCCAATATTCCTCTCCTCTCAGTTTGATGTTTCCCTGCAAGAGCCTTTGATTAAAGAGACGAGCAACTTTGCTGGTTCTATTGATCAGAATAAATTACTAGCTGCTAATTTATGGACCTCACCATAGTGCCTTTAACTAGTGGATTGTGCTCTATTGTTCAGTAAATTGGGTTGTCAAGAAATGTTATTGGTTAGTATACAGTTATCTCTCATAACAATATCAGTCAGCCTCATTGAAATGAACAAAATCTCTCCTACAATTGGTTCCAAGGATATCATGATGGCCCTGAGTTAGGAGGGGAGTTGAGCATTCTTCCTGATGGTAATGCCTGTAGAAATAACATCTTGGGGACTATGTATTTATTTTCCAACCAGTTTTTCTGTTACAGAAAATTATGTTTCTTAGACACGCAAGCTCAGGGAATTTTGCTAGTGCCTCACACTTGCAGGTTCAGCTAGACTTTACAAATACACTGCTTAGCACCATCTTGCCAACAATAAGATTCTGAACTCAGAATCAAGTGAGTGAGCGTGTTGAGGATGCTCAGGGCAGAATAAACAAAGGTCCCTCTTTTTGAAGATGCTGCAGCACTGGCAATAGCAAGCTTATTTTTTCATCAATCAGCTAGCTAAACATGAGTCATTAAATGTACACATGCAAGGCAACAGAGGGGTTTTGACACAGCACAATTTTTATAATCTGCTTCCACACTTGAAAGGTATGAATTTCCAAAAGCAAGATAAGTGCCTGCAAAGCGTTCTCTTAAGCCAAAACAAGAAAGTAGTGAAATAAATGAACAATTGGAGATGGCCTATGGCTAGGCTTTTGTGCTGGGGAGCTCTTTTTTGTGTGCAAATTTTAGGTCTGAGACTTAGTATAAGCGAGAAGGGAGGGGAGTAATGATCCATTTTGCTTGCTGATGACATCTTACCACTGCAGTTTATGCAGATACATTAATTGAATACTTTCAGTTTAAGTTCCTGTGCCCATCACTGGGAGCATTTGAGCAAACCTCACTCCCTCCCCTCAAGGAGAATAATGGAAGTGAATGACCCTGTTCCTTCACAGTGGGCAAAAGGCAGGGTTAAGGAGATCTGGGTTTTCACATGGTTAAACATAGCTGAGCAGGAGTGCTGGCATGAGGATAAAACTGCAGAAGAGATGGGGAGATCAGGTGTTAATGGCATCTAACTCTGAGCTCTTGGAGAGCCCTAGTGGTTCTTGTCACACAGTGTGGGTCCATTTACTGGGGACAAGTCCCTGTTCTCCTTGGTTTTGAGCCTCCCTGGCTGTTCCACTGGAAGGGAACTATCACGGGTAGTTATAATGGCATTGAGAAAGGATTCCTTAGGAAGTTAGGACCAATTTGGTGCAAAGCTTTGAAAGCCAGACATGCATTTCCAAGACTTGGTTATTGGGAAGCCCTTGCAGAGAGAAGTGAATTGTTGTTTGGCTCAGTTCCACTTGTGCTGCTGAGCAGAAGAGCACCAGCACTTTATACCATGACAAACATGCAGTTGGTGCAGAAAACTGCAGCCCTTGAGGTTAGATGTGATAGAGATGTGATTTGCCTTAGCCAGAACTGAATCCAGGAGGACTTGGTGCACTCTTCTCACCTCTCCCAAACAGATGTATGTATGCGTTGCCAGCTTGTGTTAGGGGGGACCAAAGTGCAACACACAGTTTAAGTGGGCCCCAGTGCTCAGGACCACACAATACCCACCATAGATGTTCCTCATGGGTGGTGGTATTATGGAAGAGAAACTTCCCCCTTCCTTCCCAGCATCATGGCTGTCTTGTCTTGAACTCAGCTTCTGCCTACTGCTCTTCACTCAGGCACTGGTCTCAGCTGGGTGTGGAGATAACGCCCCTTCTGTTAGTAAGGACATAGAGACCTACATGTCACCTAGGTAGCGCTGGCTCTCCAGCCCATGTTCTTTCACTGACTTTCCCAAAGGCTTCCTGTAGAGACTGAATGGGCTGGAGGTGGAGAACTGAGATTGGGGGTACCTGGTTCATAAGCCTGTTGGAGTAGGAGGAACTGATGCATGTAGTGATTTGAGAAGAAAGGCCTAAGCTGTCTCAGGATGCTTCCACCTCCTCCTGCTGTCTTTGGGAGGTCAACAGTTCACACTGATTGGATACTCCAGCAGAGACCACCAGGTGGTTACAGGTTTCCTTCCCAGTATCCCTCCACATTGCCAGGTGGTTGATGCTCCTCTGTGCTTTGAGCACAGGTGTGGTAGGTAACGCAGCTGTCAAGGGTGCTGCTCACTGGGGCAGGGGCTTCTGTGTCTGGACCTGAATTCCAGGGGGCTGTTGCAGAATGCATGGGAGCCCAGCTGTTCTCTGACTAAGAAGGCCTCAGAAGTGCCATTTATAACTGGAAAGGGAGGTTAGGAGCCACCTGGATAAGTTTTTTCTCCAAAGTCTGTACAGAGTGCAATAGGCTGACTCTAACATCATCTCTCCCAAAGACCCATCTTTGAGAAAGTATCCCCTATGCCCATCCAAGTCTATGCTCAGCACCTCGTGGGGTTGCTGCCCTATGGTCAGTTGCCTAATTTAGGGCTTGAAAGCTGGATCATTGGAGGACTGTCACTGGAGTGTAATTAAGTGTGTAGGTTTGGAGTAGAGATGGTCAGCTTTGTCATACAAGTTTCACTCAGTTCTTTGTTCAGGAGAACTTGGTTCTTGTATTAAGAGGCTGCCTGTCATGCTGGCCAAATTGGTTTGTACCTGAAGCAGCAGGGGGCAGGTGGAATGAAGACAAACTGGTGGAATAGCTTCTCTGCACTGGGTTCAAATGGGACTCTTCCTAGCTCTAACAGTGTGGGCAGGCACTGCCATTGCCTGCGTGGGAGGTCTGTGATTCTTACAACTCCCCTGTTCAGTTCCAGTTGTCAAAGGCCCCCTGTTGTGGCCACGTTCATCTGCAGAAGGTCTCATTCACAGACCACAACAATGGGCTCCCACTTGGGCAGGATTCCACCAGCAATGTCTTGCCTGACCTGGGGACCTTTGGTATTTTGGCTGGCAGACTCGCTGTCTGTGCCCTGTCTGGTATTTCCCTGTGAAAGCCATTAGAAGTGGCCCTTTCATGGCAAGTCATTACTCCATCTCCCACCCATTAATGAGCCCAGGCTTTACTGCAAGTGCTGTGGGCTGGAAGACCCACCCTCTCCCTCTGTGAGCGAGCAAACCCACCACCTGAAGCCTTCCTCCTCAAAGTGCTAAGTTCCACACTTTGATCAGCTTCAGAAATCCTGCAGCTCCACACGCCAGGCTTTCCAGCTGTGCTGCTGACCCTGAGAGTGAGCTTGGTGCCACTATGGCAGGGAGGTCGGAAAGCAATTGGCACCACTGACCAGGACAGCACAGAGGAGCTGTAGTACAGACCAGGATACTGTGCTGAGCAGGTGTTTCTCGTGGCTTCTCATGTTGCAGGTTTGTGGCAGGAAGCTTAGAATACAGTTACCTGCAGCTTTATGCTGGAGTGGCAGAGTTTAAAATGCTTTGCCTGCTTGCACGTATGTGCCTGCATTGTGCAGGGGAATACTTCATCTTGTTCTTGTCTTTGCAGTCATTGTGCTTTTTGTTTTCTTTTCTTGCTTCTCTTTAAAGACATCTGGATTAAGAGCAATGGAGCGGGAAAGAATAATTCGAGATACCTTGACATGCTTTATCCAGTCCTATATCCCCAATGCTGATCTTGGGTAAGTACAGCACATCTATGGAGTCTAGACTCTTATCTGCCCCTGGAACTCTCTCCATCCAATAGTCTAGCCTTCCTGCATTGTATTCTGTTGTATTGTATTCAGGGTTGATGGTAATTTGTCCAAGTTCTGCTATAGCCCTCACACCATCGTTTATTTAATATGACCATTCTAATAAAACTATGGATTAGGGGTTATTAACCTCTTTATTCAACAACATAACATTTTGCTCCTTTCATCCTTACAGCATCTCCGAGTGCTCTCAAACAGCAGAAAACCTATAGACATTCTCTATCGAGAGAACTTTACCAACACATGAAATATAGATGTAGCCACCTCTATGCAGGGACACCAGCGGGTGGGTGTTTAGCAGTACATGAAAGTAGAACAGAAAGGGGAAAAGAATACTGTTTCATGTAGAAATCACAGATAGATTTTTCACATTGATGGACTGAGTTGCTGTGTCCAGAAATAGCAGCTAACATTATCACAAGTGCTCAGGATTTTGAAGTTACTGTCTGAGCCGAGATGCAAAATTGACAGGATAACCTCCTGTCTCTGCAGTATATTGTGGTATTAATTCACTGCTGGCTGGGAAAGAAAAAAGCCATGTATTAAATGGGTGGGGGTGGGGGAATATTCTGTAGCCACCTGGATTATCTCAGAAAGTCTCCCATTCAAGTACTGGCCACATCCAATCTGGCTTTAATTGTGAGATCTGATACTGGCTACATGGGTCTCTTAATCCAGCTCCCTTAGCTTGTGGTCTCTGTGTTTCCAGTGGGATGGATGAAGTTGTCTTCTCCTACATCACTAGTGTCTTGGAAGAGCTGGGTTTACCAGAGTCCTCTGAAGAGAACTTTGATATGGATACCTTTGTGGAAATGATGGAGGCATATATCCCTGGCTTTGCAGAAATCAACAGGTGAGTGGCAGTCCTCACCCAGGCCGTACCTACCTTGGGTTCTGGGCCTCAGTGCCAGGGGCCCCAGTGTTGCAGCCAAATGTGCACAACTCAGTTATTTGGTTTAAGGTACCAAACCATGCAGTCAGGCCTTTACAGCATATGGGGTCATCAATAGAAATAAACAGTTTGCATGCAGTCCCAGTTTATTTCTCTGCACTTCCAATAACACTAATCTACTTCCTGCACTAGCTCTGCAGGATCCATCATTCTAGATTGGTGGCTCATGAATTATAGAGTTGGAAGGATCTTAAAGAAATCAGATAGTCCTAGTTCCCTTCTTCCTCTCCCCCACCTCCTGACCTGATCAAATATTCTCACAGATTATTTGCTTTGCAAGGATTGGGTAGCTAGCACATGGTCATTGGGAGCTCTGAAGACAGGTGTCAGCTTTGTTATTCCCAGAAACTCTTCATGCAGGGTGGAGAATCACACAAACTATAGAAGGATATGAAGTGGAGAGATGATCATGAGTTACTTAAATAAGAAGGATAAGCTATTGCATTTCCAGTAATAATTACACTCCTCCTGTCTTTTTGCAGTGGAGATGTTTGTGAAATGATGTTTTCTCTCTCTGAAAGGCTCAGTAAAGCTCACAACCAAGGTAAATTATTTGCCGGGTACTCAAGCACAAAGAAAAGTGCTGTAGGGACGTGGTTTTTAGCTTCAAGTGTTTTGGGGATGGGAAGGTGTCACAGGACAATGAATAATCTTACCACATAGGCAGCAGCGTTTAGAGTAGATTTTCCCTTGGGCGTCTGAATTAACTGACTTTTTCTATAGAATTAAGTCAGGCCCTTGACATGAGTGTGTGGGAGGGTTTAGTAGCTTGGAATGCTGTCATTTGTGGCTGAATCAGAGCCTTTTGGATAGCATAATGCTGTTGGACAAATCCCTGAGGTAGCTGTAGATCTCAGCTGTGTATATAAAGCAAATTCAAAGAAGTGGGAGGAAATTCCATGAACAGGAATGTGATATCAAAGTTGTCTGCTGTGTATTTTGGAAATGGGTTTGGACATGCTGGGTGTCTGCCTTCCTGTAACTTGCACACTGGGTAGCTGCATCAGGTAAAATATCATCCCCATTTCACAGATAAATACATTCAGGCAGAGAGTATAAATTCCTTTCCCTAATGTCATGCACAGGGAGTCTGTCTAAGCTGTGGGAGAAGAGCCTGCAGCTCTGATCCCACCAGCCCTGTGTGATTTAACCAGAGGTCAGTTTACCATACCAGGGTACATTGCTGACTGGGTCAGAGCAATTGGCTATGATGCGTGGTGGGTCAAGTAACATCCTGGAACTTTACCTGTATATTCTGAGATCCAAAAAAATTAAGCAAGATAGGTGTGAGAACATGGACTGGTAACTTGATTAAGACTCATGGGTGGTAGGTGGAGGAATTCACGGTGAAGGTTACACTAAGTCTGGAAAAGTTTGGGGCAAGGTACCCAAGCCTCTTGCAGCAAGATATGGGAACAAAGCTACAGCAGCCGTGCCCACATAGAGTGGCAGGAATGTGGTGGGCTTCCAGTGCATCAGTTGAGAGGGAGTTTGTTTTAGGAAAAGGCAAAATAACAACCTTGTTGATCTAGTGACAAGAGACACGTAGCTTTAATTTGTATGGGGTAGCTTATCAATACATGTGCATTGTGTCTTTAAGAAAAGTTTTGCCAAAGGCCTGTGGAAGGCATGAGCAAAGCACCCACAGAAGAGCTGAACCGGGGCAGCAAGCAGGGAGCAGGTGCACCTGAGAAGGAAATACTACATACGCCAGCAGAAGAAGCCATAGCTGAGGTACTGGTGCCTGCTTGGAAATTGCCTCTTCTAATGCCAGAGTGCTAAACACAAGTGGAGCAGAGCTGCATGCCATCAGGACAGAGGTGACCCTGGGAACCATCTGTCTCTCTGTGGAGTAACCTTAGCTTGAGACATGGCTTTGTAAGATCACGCAAGTTGGGTCTTGTCAGTAGCTGGGTAGGGAACCCACCACCAGCAGGGGTGTGGAAATTCCCAGCTGGCTGTCCTCTCTCTGAATCAGCCCTGACCTCAGCCCAAGGCTAGAGGATGCTGAGCCGTCTTTTTAGGATGGGATACATCAGAGAACCTGACTGCTTGTCATTTAGAATCTTGCAGGACTGTTTGTAAGAACGCCATAGGATTAGTGCTAGCCAAACTGCAACTTCCCTTGCTACATTGTCTTACTAACCCATTGCAGTTTTAGTTGGATGTTGTATTCTCCACTTTGTCCCAAGCCTTCAAACAGCTACCACGCTCCTAGAGGTGGCTGCGTTTTGGTGCTAGGCAGCAATACTTGATGACATAAGTGTGCAACATTGCTTAGTAAAGTTTATTGGTCACTTCAGGATCCTTTGTGGGGAGAGTGCTGACTTTAGTAAGCAACCCTGCCTAAGACCCTGAATCTCATCCTCCCAAGACTGTTCTGGGCTGTGCAGTTGAATGGGAAGCTAACTGCACAGTTTCACTGATTTATCCAAACAGTTGTGTTCTGGCTGTAACTGCAAAACACTTCAAGGCACCCTTTGCCCTACTCCATGTATCTGAGGGTAGAATACCAATGATAATCCCACGAATCAGTCATGGATTACCAGCAGCCTTTGGAAATTGCCCACATTGCCCTTGAACCGTTCCAGTGCAATGGTAGCACACTGTACTGTGCTTAGCCTGTACATCAGTGCTAAGTACAGCATGCTTTGACCCCACGGGAAGGTAGTGCCAGCTGTTAGTCCCCCAGAGAAATGAGCCAGTGTCTGAAATCTGTCCCTCTGGGTGAACACTTCTGCAGCAGTATAGTAGGGAAATGACTCAATAGCCAGGAGCCCTACTTTGGATGACTATTTGAAGCACATGGAGGAAAATAAGCAAGTAGGGAGGCAGCCCTTGGAGAAGTCCAGAGTGTGTGTGGGCAGCCACTAGTGAGAGGAACCTATAACTGGATTCCCACTGTTGGGGTTGGTGAGGCTTCCCCCTTGGAGTAGACTTGGATCTGCTGCAGTTGAGGAATAATCTCTGTCTGCAAACCCTATTTCCCTGGCCTCCAATACAACATGGGAAAGGCCCTGCTCAACACCAGGCCACTCACTACCTTCTAGAATCAGCCTATGTCTTGCCCTGACCAGGGAGGAGGAGACCTGAAGGATGGCGTGGAGCTGCTCCTGGAGATGTTCCCAGCCTGCACTGTGAGCCAAGCTCAGACAGCGCTGGCCATGGCACTGGGAAACCTTGAAGAGGCAGTGCAGCTCATCATAGAGGAGAAGGTGGAAATCAGCCCAGTGGATGCTACCCTGAAGGTACCGTGCCCTGGGTCAGTTCAAGGAGCAGGAAGCAGCAGGACATCCCTGAAGTCCAGTGCACACTGTGATTCTGTACCTCCCAAGCCAATAGACCTTTCTGGATAGTAGAAACCCAGCCTACTTGTAAGCTTGCCTCCCCTCCCCATCCAGAAACTTCAGCTCACCAAGCTGGCAACAGGGAAGTGTAGTGATCAGCATTCACCTTCCCTTGTCTCTCTCCACCCATGCTGTGGCCAAGCCAGCAGGAAGGCTTGATCAGTTGTGGTCACTGCAGCTCAATCAGCTCTTTCTTCTCTATTCCCAGGAGATGGTGAGGCCCCGCAGAGCACCTAAGCAAGAGGAACTAAAACAGTTTATCTTACAGAAGTAAGTACCTAGCAGTGAGGGGCCCCTCTGGTTCTTGTTCTGATGGCTGTGAAGTATTGGGGGAGGGGGGGGCAGGGAGGAAAACGTCCAAGAGCACCAGGCCAGAATAATCGGTCAGAGCCATGTGATGCTATGCAGAATGGGTCACTAGTAGCTAGAAGATTCTAGCATGACTAGTCCATGACTAATGCTGAACTGCATGTATGATCAGAAAAGGCTCCATCCAAACTCTGTGCCAGGTTCTCCTATTTACATTTCCAGAGAGCCAGCTCAGAGAAGGCTAAAGGGAACTGTTATGTAGGCTGTCTCTTAAGGCTCAGGTACCATATTCTGAATTAAGTATAGGTTTAACAATAACATACCTTTGTTTAAACTGCATTAATGCTCTCCTCCCCCACCTACCCCTGTGGACTATAGTGTTCAGACCTAAAGCAGCCTCCTTCTGCTTCCTGTGGTATACTTTTGAGTAACTACACTAGGGTTTAATTAATCCACTCCAGAAGCTCATCTGGGTTCATTTTCCTGCATGTTGTCCAGCTACACACATCAAAGCTGCAGCCCTCACCTGCCCACCCAGCCTTGTTCATCCTGCCACATCACTAGTTACAGAGATCTGACAGCTGGGGTTCAGTTATTGATGATTTTGCTAAAGGCTAATGAGGCAAAACAGAATCTAGCACTGCATCCTAGAGAAGCAGTCTCTGAGGGCGTAACACCCTTGCTCTTGACTATCCCACACCAATTTAGCCTGGAGTCAAGGGAACAGACTTCATGAGTAAAAAAGAGGCACTGGTTGTTAGTCACATTTGATAACTGCACTTTAATGACACTTTGGCAATGCCCTGTATTTTACACACTGTTCAAGTACAGTTCTGGAGAGCAGACCACTGTACCTTTAAAACATGCAGGAGCAAGTATCTGGCTAGTGGGCATACAGACAAGGCTGGTTGCACTGTTTCCATTATATTTTTGGCTCCAGAGTGCCCACAGGAGTAACTCCGCAGTCCAGTGAGCAGCCCTCTGTGCACCTTAGTCAGGCATGGTGCAGTGTTCTTTTCACATGGTCACGCTACAAATGCAACCCCCAATAAGTCAGGGCTCACATTGCAGTAAGGATTGAAGAAGCACCCTCTCCTATGCAAGGAGCAGCAACCACATCAGCACTGACTGCAGGAACCCCCTGGGTGTAGTCTTGCCTTTTTCTCCTTCTGCAGTGCGGTGCTAACAGCCAAGCCTGTGGGAGGTGCTAGCAGACTCACCTGTCCACGCGGCCTGAGAAGGAGCAACCCCACCTGCCACAACAAAGCAAACCTGGGCTGCTACGTCTCAGAGTAGTCTGGTAGTCTTGGGACTCCATGGGCCAAACTGAGTAGCCAAGCTACTTTCAATAGTGAGAGAAGCTCTATCATGCATCCAGAGCTTACCTCCAGCAAGGTACTGCTTCTTCCCTCCCACTCCTATGCAGGGGATAAGTCCTGCACCAGGAACTCCAAAGGCACATGCATGCTACCTCTTGGCCGCAGTAGAATAGAGCACACAGCACAACACATCCTCTCTGCCACTCACCATGCTATAAAACCCTGTGATGTAGCTGTTCTTAACATGGTGCTGGGCACATGCCAGTAAATTTGCTGGAGACCAAGAGTTTTCAATACATGCCTAGTGCCACTCTAAATGAGTGACATCATGCCCTTCCAGGGTGTAGTGTGGAGTAGGCATTCCCCATTTCAGTATACTGCTCCTTGGCGCACTTGTGAGGTTGTGGAGACATGCCCCACAGGAACACATTTCAGGGCCAGAAGCAGAGTGCAGTCCCACTGTGACCAGCAAGGGGCAAGAGGAATCAGTAGCACATTGGAGGGGAGGGGGGTGGAAAGGAGTAAGTGTTGCATTCACCAACCCATTTGTGTTTCAGATACATGATGGTGGACAGTGCAGAGGATCAGAAAACACACCGGCCAATACCCCCAAAGGAGGTGAGAGCCCCAATAGGCACAGCTGATCGTAAACCTGGGAGCTTCTCTGGCTCCATTGTGGCCCCACTGCAGGTCAGCAGCAGGCAGACAACAGGCCAGGGAGCTAGCCTGCTCACAGGGCCTGGGCCAGTGTGGCCAGGAGAGCAGAATCTATTGATCTCAGCCACCACCAGGTAATACTGGGTTAAGGGTACACCTTATCCATTCTTTACCCAAGACTCAGATCTCCAGGCAGCTAGTCTTGGACTTAAGGAGTGTTGCAGGGGGCAGCATTTCCAGCTCTTGCCAGTCACTCAGTCACCTGGGCTGCCTCCCACAACTAGGAGAGCCTTTTCACTTAGTGTCAACTTTGTTTCCAGGCTCCCAAGAAGCTAATCCGCTATATAGATAACCAGGTAGTGAGCACAAAGGGTGAGCGATACAAGGACATGAAGAAGCCAGAGAGTGAGGAGATGAAGAGAACTTACATCAGCCTCAAACCAGCCAGGAAGTATAAATTCCACTGATGGATGTTCCCTCCACATTATCGTCCTCTGCCTTGAATGGAGTGATGGACCTGCAGCAGTTAGTGGAGTGCAGATGGTCCCCTCCTGCCCTAACTGGAACTAATCCCTGGGAGCCAGGATGCTGCTTTCACCTCCCCCAGTTAGCACCTGCTGCCCTGGAGGGGCCGGGTTTGCAGAACCAGCTGAGTCCTAGGCACCCCCTGCTCCTTCATGCATGGGGGTTTTAAAACCTAATGTGGGCTTGTGCTGTCATGACAAGCTTTTTAAACCTGTGTGCACTGATTGTACCAAGTGTCGCTGTTAATAAAGATGATGTGAGCTTATGTGGAATTTGGTTGGAGCACACGTGCCTTGTGGAGAGATGCACAGGTTTTCCCTGGACCAGGGCTGCAGTCACCATTGATTCTGGCCTCAGACCCCACCCCTACCCAAGGACCCAGCTGCGTGGCAGTTTGCATTTGAGTGCAAGGGTGTATGCTAGAGAATTGACCAGCACCATATTCCTCTGTAAGTGCAACTGTACCTTACCTGAGGCACCCCAAAGAAACTTGCTCCTATGGTCAGGGCCAGAGCCACAGAGCAAAGCCATAGGCTAGTGATGTGCAGCATGACACAGTCTTGCTACATTCATTCTCTATTTCTGAACCAACACCTGGGTGACCAGGGGCATCACAGCCTGACAACTCACATTTATCACATGGGCAAGATCAAAATTCAGGGTTCTTTCTTTCAAGCAACAGCTTTTAAGTGGAGCAAGTGCCCTGGGGTGGAACAGAGTCCCTGGCTGACTGGGACTTGCTGCCACCCCACCCTGTGCTGGGCTCCTTGCTGGCCTGAGGGGCAGCTCTCTGGTTTCTGAGTAGCTGGCTCCTATGCTCTGGTGGGCCCTGCATTTTCCAGGAGATGCCAGCCATTCCCCTTGGCTCCACTCTGCTCTTCACACACTACTTTGCAACCAGGCCTTGTGCACCACTCAGTCCACAGTCCCTGCACAACATACTCCTGCTCTGTGAACAGCAGGTTCCACCATACCCAAGAGCACCAGGGTCTGGGCTTCAAGATCCTTAGAAGACTACTTAAATAATCCTTCCTAGTGCCAGGCTGGCCTGGCATGTCAGGGAGTGTCCAGCACTACAGCACTATTGTGAGTGATTCCTGTTCTTCACACCACTGCAAAGGGACTCATTCTTCCTGTGGGGGCATCAAAAGAGTCCACTCACCAACACATCAGCAGCTACACAGCACTGAGGGAGAGAGTGCAGGAGGAGGATGGCAAGTCTTATCAGGACCAGCCCTGCCAATGGGATGCACCACCCCTTCCCAACACCTCAGCAGCAGCATGTCATGGCATCCTCCAGGAGGCAGAGGCCATGGTGGGCCCCTGGCTCTCAGCAGTGGCTGTTCCTGTCTTAAATCTGAAGGTTAATGAAGGGGGCAAATCCAACCACATCCTGCAGGAGAACAAGAGCCCTCTGCATTGGAGGTTCCACATCCAGCTCCACCCCACGGTTACGGAGGATGCTCAGGCTGGACTCAGCCACATTGTGACAGTGCTTCACCTTCAGTGAGCGCAGCTTGGGGCAGTACTCAGCCAGGACCCTGCCAGGAAAGAGAGCACAAGCTGCAGACTCTTGCTCCTGGCCCTGGGACTCGTTTCCTTCTCAGTTCCCAGCAAGCCAAGGGGCACATCCCTGGGACCTTGCCTGGCATACACCACATGCAGGTAGGCTAGAAGGACTTGGTCCAATCCATTCCATCAGAGCCCCATGGCAGCTGTAGCCCACAGCCACAGGATTACATAACCCAGCCACCTAGCAGGACTCGCTAATGTTTTTCCCCCCACCAGTACTAAGCTTCCTGTGCAGCCAGTATAGGAGAGAGCCAGCCTCCCTCACTTCCCGCTTCTCTCCTGGTCCCACCCTCCACAACTACTAAGGGGACACTCTCAATACCTGATGGCGTCATTCTTGACCCGCAGGCACCCTGTGAGGTCCAGGTGCTCCAGCTCAGGGCAGCACTTGGCAATCTCCTCTACTGCTACATCTCCCATGTTGGCATTGACAGCCAGTGAAAGGTGCTTGAGCCCGCTACACTTCTGCGCCAGGTAGCAGACAGCTTCGTCCTTCAGCTGGCGGCAGGCCGTGAGGTCCACCGCCTCAAGTGCCTTGCAGTGGTCAGCCAGGCTGCGCAGGGAGAGGCTGTCCACCCACTCGCAGTGCGCCAGAGAGAGCTGCCGCAAGTGTGGGCAGCTCAGGGAGATGGCCACCAGGGCGTGGCGGCTCAGCTGGGCACAGCCGTTCAGCTGGACCTGCTGCAGGTGGTGGTTCTGGCCGATCACAGGGAGCAGCTCCTTGTCCGTCAGCCAGTCGGCACAGGCCTGGAGGGCCAGCTGCTGCAGCACTTCGTTGTCCTTCAGGAGCTCGACGAAGGCAGGCTTGGGAAGGTGCGGCCCGAGCTGCAACAGGAGGCAGAGAATGAGGCCTCCCGTGTTGCCCTGCCACCTGCCACGTCCGTCCCAGTGACGCGGGAGGCCTGGCAAGCCATGTCTCAGCAGGGGGGCTCGCCCCCTTGGTCCCAGGCACGGGGCTGGCACCGCATCCCAGAGCAGACCAGTACCCCCCCCCCAGCATCTGGTGCCTCGGTCTCGGGGCTCACCGAGCCTCCCTCGCCCACGGACGGGCGCGTGCCCGCTCCTCCATCCCTCCAGCACACTTCCCAGCTCGGCTCCTTCCCGCTCTGGGAAGTACCGCCTCCCCGCTGCGGGCAGGGGCCTTCCCCCGGGCTCGCAGCCCCGCGCCGGCCCGTACCTGGCTGGCGTCGAAGCGGCGCAGGTTGGCCAGGTGCAGCTGCACGGCGGCGCGGAAGGCCTTGCTGACCCGCTGCAGGCGCAGGAGCTGGCGCAGCGGCAGCCGCCGCAGGATGTGCGGCACCAGCACGTCCTCCCACGGCAGGTCCAGCAGCCGCG